GCTCGGGAGATGAAAATGATGAACGATTCGGCCATAGAGATAGCGTGAAACGGTTTGCATGGGGTGTGTGCAAGTAAATTCAGGGAGTGAAGAAGGCGAAAAATATCTTGCTTAGCTCCCACTTCTTCAACGATTCTGCAGCCCTTCCTACCAAAGCCGTATACCTCAGAGGCTTGGACTCCACCTAGGCTGAATAAGCGTTTGGTCAGCGTTATCCAATGCGCGTTGAAGGAGGCGTAGGCGTCTCCATGTACACGAATTACAGCCTGGAATCCTCAAACTCCGTCAGCGATCGAAGAAGATTGAGGATGCTGCAGTTATCGCCAAGAAATCGAAGATCAGTCGAGCCTGACGCCTCATGCGGCTTTTGTGATAACCACTGGACCAGTGTTATTAAATATAGGGAGTTGGTGGGACAGGGAAAGAGGGAGTGTACTAGACAGCGAGTAGTATCCATTGCCTCAAGTCTCAGAGGCAACACTAGGGTGACTTTCACGCGAGGAAGAATCATTGGGAAACTGAAAAAAGGAAGTTGTGTTACGAGAGTTTAGAAATTGTCAACCACAGCATTGTTTTTTGTGCATGAGAAGCAATGTGGACCGCAGCCACTGCTGTCCCAAGAAGAGGAGGTTGTGGGTCACGAACAACCGCAGCAGCAGGTGATTGCTAGGTTTTGCTACAGGCAAAAATGGACCCACGTCAGTCACATGCTGCAGTTGCAAAAACATTTATCAGGATTGTAAGGCATGTAATCCCAGCACAAACAGTGGCACAGCAACCATATAATGATCTCTGCCCAACGAATGGTACCTGGTGTTCTATCGAAAATCGTGCATCGGCGAGAACATTTGCTTAGTCCCGGACATTGGGAATGAACTAACAATTAGGAGGATCGCGTTCATCTCAGTTAGGATCAAACTGAGTGTGACAGTGATTCTGTACTAACCCCTATATAACGAAAATAGAAACACGCCTGCACCTAAGACCATTGTTGATTATGATTGTGATAGTCCAGGCGATAGGTTTGGAGAGGCATTAAGTTGTCAGGGTGTTTTGGCCTCCACAATCGTGAAGGCGGTACACTTCTCGGTCAACGTTGTTGCGGTGTTGGTCTTTCCAATGTGCGTCTCTTCAGGAGTGCATCTACCCTAACTTCATTTGTATGGAAGACAATGTGCGAACGTATCGAACAGTCCAGATGGAGAACTCTGGAACGAGAGGGCATTCGGCGATTGGTCAAACCTGCTGGCCTTCCTCGCTCAAATATTCTCGAGCCCGTGTGGGATACATTTGGAAGAGCTATTGCAGCACACCCACGTGTGCCAATAACTGTTCCGCAACTGTCAATAGCAGTGTTGAGAAATGAAACACTCCTCACAAGAAGTCTTTACCCATGTTCTCACATA